GTTGTTCTGAGGCATGTATACCATGTTGTTTCTTCTCTTCGCTCCTGCCAGCTGTCATCCCTCCCCTGGTCATGGTCTTGCTGTGTATGTTAGACACAGGTGAACATAGACAGTGCCAAGCATGGTAAACAAGTATGCTTAACACAAAAGTTGAGCCAGAGTAAGACCCCACTCTGGTGTCCTGTTCCACGGGAGCTTGAAACTCACTGGAGAAGTGATCAGGGTAGACAAGAACAGGACCTTGGACAGCTCCAAGGGGTCCTGCTAAGGCAGCTCTAGGCGATGTTGCCTCATTTGTTTATTATTATTATTTTTAAACTCATTTGTTTATTTTCACCACATGGGTCTCAAAGCAGCTCACAACAATAAATATACAATATGCAGAATTTAAAACAAACCTGCAAAATTTAAAAAGTCAAGAATTTAAAATCTCTCTCTCTTTTTTAAAGTAAAACATCTGAGGACTCAAGAGGGCAAAGGACTCTTGAAATGTACCGTATTTTTCCCTCTATAACACGCAGATTTTTTCTCCTAAAAAGGAAGGGGAAATGTCTGTGCGTGTTATAGAGCGAATGTGTGGTCCCTGGAGCCAAAAAATCAAGCAAAAGTCAAATCGCGAGTCACGGAGAAGGGAAACCTGAAAAGAGGAAGTGGCAGCTTTCCTGCATTCTGCCTCAGGGTCTTACTGCCCACCCTTCTCTGTTTCGTTGCTGTGATTGCTGAAACGGAACAAAGAGCAGGGAAAGCCCCTCCCCTCCAGGCAAGCAGAGTGTCGTTCTTTCTAATTCCTCTCTGTGCTCCGGTGCTGCTGGGGGAGAGGGAGAGAGAGTGGGGGAGGGAGAGGGAGAGGGGGGGAGGGAGAGGGAGAGGGAGAGAGGGGGGGAGGGAGAGAGAGGGGGGAGGGAGGGAGGGAGAGAGAGAGAGAGAGAGAGAGAGAGAGAGAGAGAGAGAGATGGCTGGCTTGGGGGGGAACTTTTGCCTTTCTTTCCTCCCACCCGTTAAATCCCTCTCCAGCATTCTTAGCCAGCTGCTTCTCTGCACACCCCTCTCATGTCCCTTCTTTGTTTTTCCTTCGCTCCCCACTTAAAATGTGGTTACAAAGCATAGATCAACATGGATCCTCAGGATCTTTGCATTGGGTCACCCCAAATTCACCATCAGATCACATAGCATGTCCCTGGCTACAGCCTGCACCAAAAAAATCACGCACCCACTGTTGCCTGGGGCTGCAATGGTGCAAAAACGTGGTTAAAAAGCATGGATCCACATGGATCCTCAGGATCTTTGCATTGAGTCATCCCAAATTCACCATCAGATCACATAGCATGTCCATGGCTACAGCCTGCACCAAAAAAATCACGCACCCACTGTTGCCTGGGGCTGCAATGGTGCAAAAACGTGGTTAAAAAGCATGGATCCACATGGATCCTCAGGATCTTTGCATTGGGTCACCCCAAATTCACCATCAGATCACATAGCATGTCCATGGCTACAGCCTGCACCAAAAAAATCACGCACCCACTGTTGCCTGGGGGTGCAATGGTGCAAAAACGTGGTTAAAAAGCATGGATCCACATGGATCCTCAGGATCTTTGCATTGGGTCACCCCAAATTCACCATCAGATCACATAGCATGTCCATGGCTACAGCCTGCACCAAAAAAATCACGCACCCACTGTTGCCTGGGGCTGCAATGGTGCAAAAATGTGGTTACAAAGCATGGATCTACAGGGATTCTCAGGATCTTTGCATTGGGTCACCCCAAATTCACCATCAGATCACATAGCATGTCCATGGCTACAGCCTGCACCAAAAAAATCACGCACCCACTGTTGCCTGGGGGTGCAATGGTGCAAAAACGTGGTTACAAAGCATGGATCCACAGGAATTCTCAGGATTTTTGCATTGGGTCACCCCAAATTCACCATCAGATCACATGTCTGTGGCCACAGCATGAAGCACAAAAATGATACATCCACTGTTTCATTCAGAATGTTTTTTCCCTTGTTTTCCTCCTCTAAAAACGATGTGCGTGTTATGGTCAGGTGCGTGTTATAGAGCGAAAAATACGGTAAGTTTTGACCAGACATCTGAAACTCAGTAGGGCCGGTGCCTGTCTTCTTGTAGGAGGGGCTTCCATAGGCCCACAACACTGAATGTGTGACGTGACTTGGGTACGAGTCATGCTTCCGGCCCATAGGCAACCACTAATGGTGCTCAGGGATCGACCTGGGGTGTACAGAGTAAGACAGTCCTTAAATGACCCTAGGCCTAAGTTGTGCAGGGCTTTGTACACTAGTACCTTGAAACTGGCCCACTTGCAGACAGGAAGTCAGTTCAGCTCTTTTAACATCAGCCTTATGCAGGCTATCCAGACCTGGAGTGTGGTGGGCTCCCTGGAGAAGCTTGTCTGTGTCTCTGAGTCAGAGGAAGATAATACGGTTGGTCTCAGCTGGAAGGGGCCCAAATAAGGTACGCCCAAGGAAATAGCCTGAACCTCATCTTATGCCTCTGCTCTACACATTGCAAGGAGCCAGGGTCATTGGTCATCTATCTCTTTCCCCATTCTGCAAGCAATGTTTAAGTAAATTCTTTTCCCTTTACTGTGAGAGCTTAAGAACATAAGCAGAGCCCTGCTGGATCAGGCCAGTGGCCCCTGTAGTCCAGCATCCTGTTCTCACAGTGGCTAAGCAGATGCCCATGGCAGGCGCACAACCAGGACCCAAGTACCACACCACTCTCCGCTCCTGTGGTTTCTGGTATTAAGATTAAAATGTATTTATCTGCATAGGCCTTTGCAAGCAAGCATGAGGGAACTGCTGCTTCGTTGCTGCTACGAACTAAGCATTTTGTTTATATGTTTGTGAGATTTTACTGTAGATCATTTCGGGTGATAGTAAGTTGCCTCGAGGGTCTGTCTTGGCAGACAGGCAGAGTAGAAATGCTTTAAATAAATAAGAAGTAAAACAGGGATAGGACAATGTTTCAAGGGCAACCATGACTGAGAGGTTTCTTTATTTAAAAGTGAAGTAGTTTGCTCCACAGGGTCCAAAGACACAGAAGTAGAAGTCATTTTGGGAATTTGGAGAACCAACATGGTGTAGTGCTTAGCGTGTCAGACTAGGACCTGGCAGTCATTAACAGTCATCAACGGGTTTACCACACCTATCAGCCAATCACCTATTCCCACCACCCTTCTGAGTAATACCCCTCCCCTCCCTCTCACTATATATAAAGGTCTGGTGGCTTCTGTTTCAGTGTATCTGAAGAAGTGTGCATGCACACGAAAGCTCATACCAAGAACAAACTTAGTTGGTCTCTAAGGTGCCCCAATATATGAAACGGGTGATAAGAAAAACCCTGCCAATTATAGACCCATTAGTTTGTTAGATGTAGCCTCTAAACTATATGCCAGGCTCCTTCTTGGGAGACTGGAAGAATGGGCAGATACAAAAAGGTGGTATCTGAAGTCCAGGCAGGTTTCCAAAGAGGGAAATCCACATTGGACCAGTGCTTTGTGATGAACTTTCTGCTATGTAAATATGTCCATAATTTGAAGCAAAAATTATATGTCACTTTTATCGATCTAAGGTGCTTCAGCCTAACCTACCTCACAGGATTGCTGTGGAGATTAAATGAGAAGGGGGAGAACCACGTTGACCACCTTGAGCTCCTTGGATAAAGTGGGATATAAACAAACAAACAAATAATAAGAGATTCACAGTCAATCTATATAAAATGCTCAGTTCTTAAAACTGTCACAACCAAACAAGGCCCAGGAAGAGGGTATGCAAATAGGAGTAGTCTCAGTTTTCAGGTGTCCAAGGTCACTATGGTTAGGTGAGCATGTGTTCTACTTTACAGAGGCTGTCCAGTTAAAGACGAAGTACCAAAAAGGGGGAGAACCAGGGAGGAGGAGGATTGAAATTGCCCATCAGCCATGAGCACCTGGACAGCAGGTAAGGAGGCACACAGGTCACTTGCTGTTTGTCTTCTCCAGTACGGTAAGAAGTAGTCTCTTTCTGGATAATTAAATACAGTGATTATTTCTAAATGTGCATTTGTAACATAAAATAGGACATGTTATGTTTGGCAATGCACAAGTGGCCACTCTCCATCAAGGGGAGGGGGCAGATGAAGCCCAGTAGTGTCACTAGATGCACCACTTTGCTTTCTCCCATACAAGAGAATGGCTGCCACACACTTTGATAGGGAAAATGAAAGGCAGCACTAGGAGACAGTGGGAAGGTGCATGCAAAATTTACCTCCACCACCACCTCTTGCTGGCCCAGCACTTACTGTCAGCAACTCAACTGAGGAGTCCGCCCCCCCCCCCGCCTTCTCCCATACATTCTGCAGTGAGCTAGCACTCAAATTCCAGCAGCTCTTTGATGCCATCTAGTGGCAGAACAAGAGAAGTGTCACCAGCCTTGCATAATTGTCTATGAGGTTAATATATTTTTTAACACGAGTTTTCAAATCACTTCCCGGAACTTATGTTAGGCCTCTGTTAATACCTTAGGGAAGTGTGCCTGTTGTGTGAATATGCTCAGTACTCGAGAAACCATCAAATATCCCCACCAAATGTACAAAATTCTCTACATGAAGAACTTGCTCGTGTGTGTATATATCTCTCAACATCCTGGCTTGAATGCAGATGAATGTATCAGAATGAATCACCCCGTGTAGTGATGTGTGTTTTATTATAATCACATACAAATGCACATGTGGCACTTCCAGGGGCATGTTTGACTAACAATGGCAGATAACCTCTGGTTAATAACCTGGGTGCAGCTTCCTGGGGCCAAATTCTGCAAAGCCCACATGAAGACTCACCCAAATAGCCTGATGCTCCCAGTCAACTCCCATTCCCATTACAGCTAGGCTGTGGCTCCTGTCTGCCTCTGCACCAGGAGTCGTCCCCCCCCCCCCACCTCTTATTATTTCCATATTTCCCTGGTGTATTGCAACACAAAAGAGAACAAAAACTGACACAGAGAGAGACTGGTCTCCAGCAAAGAGACGGTAACAGCTTTTAATCAGACAAGAGTCAGTACACCCGTTAAGACAAATACTGTTCGCCTCTTTCTGGAAGTTCCTTCACATACCAGCAGGGAAGAACAGGTTTCCTCAGGAAATTAAAGCAGTGTGCAAGCCAGTGCTTCACTTTTGTTGGTTTATTATTATAATTTTCCCCCTCCTGTGACTATTTACATTACAGTACCTCTTTGTGATCAACCAGGAGGGCTGGGAGAGGAGTGTGTGTGTGTTATCGTGGGCATAGATGCCCAAGTCAAGAAAGGCAGATCTGCTTATTTATAGATTTGTACATTATACATATATATATGTGCGTGTGTGTGTGCATGTGTGTGTGTAGATACATTGCTCTTTTTTTTGAAGTATTAAAAAATTGATCAGCCATCAATCTATAAAAAATACCTAACTCTACAAGGTAGAAAAAGAAAAGCCTTCCTTCTCCAAGTATACACTGATTTACACCCAAGAGTCCACTGGAAATGTACAATACGCGGATTCTTTCTCCAGATTTCAGGGGTGGTTGAGTGGGCACAGCAAGGGGATAAATGTGAAGGTGGGTGTTTGAGCTCAAAGAATCGCTGTCCAGGTGGAGAAGCAAACACTTCCACATTTTTTGTCCCTGTGTTCCTCACCCCCCACCCCACTTGATCTAGCTAGAAATTATAGAGCATGAATCCACTGATTATAATAATACAAAAAAATAGTTCCACATAATCTGGCCATGGTGCCGCAATTCATCCTGGGAACCTGGTAAATGCATTTGAGCTCAATAGGAGCAAAACCCAGTGACCTTGGATTGGGGTGCTCACTTTGGTGCATTTTTGAATTTAGAAAAAAACAGAATAGGATTGTTGCTTTCCCTGTACCATCAGGGGTTGAGAACAAGCACTTTATGCTTTCCAGGAGGAAGGAGATATGTCAGCTGTCACTGCCCACTTCTGCTCTCCATGAGAGCCAGTTGCTTAGATGGCTCACGCAAGTATGTGGGGTACTGCTACATACCTTGTGCCTAAATGCGTGTGCTTTAAGAGAGGGCGGGGAGATCTAAGAGAGAGAGGGAGAGAGAAGGCACCCAGAAAAAGCTCAGAACTCTCAGCTCCATCCCAGAACCAAACCTTCACTGGGAGTCCCAGGCACTGGCCAATCAGTGCCCCTTCTTAGGGGGTCCTGAATGTTATCTATGTACAAAGCAGCAAGATCCATCAACAACAGATTTATGCTCCACCTTCCCCATTCCCTAGTTGTGCCATTAAAAAGAGAAACCCCCAAGCAAAACATGATTTAAAACCAACCCCCAGGGCCAGATTTTAAAATATATATATATATAGAAGAACACCTTAACCTTCTGGTTCTGTGGAGACAGCATACCTTTTAGGTATGGGAAAAACCAACCTTTTCCTATAAAATTTGGGATGGGGAGGTGGGCAACATATGTTTTTTCTTCCAGCTGGGCTTTAGAGAGAAGGAGAAGGGAAGAAGGAAAAGAGGATTAAGTTGCAACACATCCATCTCTCTCATCCTGTCCCAAAGGGTATGCAAAATGAAGCAAACAATCCAAAATCCTGCCAACTTTAACCATTTTAGATTTGACTCTTGGTATGGATATGATGGCAAAAGCTTCATTTCTGGTTAATGGAACATTCTGTGCAGCAAGACATGGTTATGTCAGCAGCTGAACAGCTTGCTTCTCTGTCTGAAGTATCTTAAATCTCCTCTCTCCTCCTCCCGCAAAAAAAAGTTGGGATAGAACAGTCACCATTCCTGTCTTAAAGTGACCAAACTGCTGCAAAAATAAAAGGATAAGATAAAGGTGTGCAGTGAAGATGAAGGGATGTGGCGGCGGCTGCTGCACCTGAGGGGAAAAATAGCTCTGCCTCCAGTGCTGAAGTATCATCAGCTGAGCATCCCCTTCCCGGTGCCTCCAGCAGACCAACCACATCACCTGGTGGGCAGCTGGCCTGCAGAATAGCCATCAGCTGCGACTAGGTCTTCAAGCAGAGGGTGTCAGTAGGCAATTTTTTAAAACTATAATGCCAGAAAGCCCCTCTCCTGTTTCCCCACCTGCCAGAACCTGTTCACCTCCCTGCAACCTCTGATAGGAAACAAGCCAGCTATGTTTTCTTTAAGGCAGCTTGCCAAACAAAAGGGGTCGGGGATCACACAAACTACAAGCAAGCCCCCTCCCTCAAATATTTTGATGGGGAATGCTTCTGCAAGCTAGAGAGACTAAAACGTTTGGACCAGGTAAGGGCCCTTTTCTCCCCTTCCACTGGTTCAATGATAAAAGTCATCCACGTGTCTTGTGGCCTTGATCCCTCTTGGAGGGCGCCCACAGCTTCAAGAAGGGAGATGCTGCAGAGTGCAACTGATGTGTCTCCCAGTGAGTTTTCAGGAAGGATGGGGTGGGCAAGGCAAGGGAGGGAGGGAGGCAGTGGAGAACTTCTCTTCTTCATCTCCCCTGTGATGGCTGCTGTGGGGCAAGAGAGATTTGGACCTCTTTTCTCTCCCCTTGTGCAGGGCAGGGTTGTAAGCTTACAGGAAGAGGGTTTCAAGTTGCAGCCCAGCGCGGCAGGCTGCTGGTGTACGTTCCCATTCCCCCACCCCCTTTTCCCGCTGTGTTCTGCGCCTTGCATTTTTTTCCCTCCGGGTTTCCTTTTGCCCACCCCCACCCAACCCTCGTGAGTCACAAGGGCTCAAAAACCCACTGGAGTCAGCGCAGCCAGGCTCAATAGCCGTCTCTCTCTCCCACAAGTCCACCAGGTTCCACCACCTAACCAGTTTCATGACGTGAGGCTTCCCGCGCCTTCTTTGCAGAAGAGCCAAGACTTGCCAGCATCTCCTCAAGAGCAGCAAATGCACGGCACCCAAGTGTCACTCAGGACCGCAGTTCTCAGCCTCCTACTTGACCTCCAGGATGGATGGGTTGGTTTCCATGATGGCCACAATGATCCGGTCAATGTAGTCCTGGAGCCGGAAATTGATCTCTTCTTGTTTCTGAATCGCCTCCATTAGCTGCAGGGAGGAGGGAGAGAAGGGAAACATGTTACATGAAGGCTATTATTCTGAGTCGGCAAACTCTGAGGTGGAACAGCTTGTCCAAAGGCACAGTACAATGATGAACTGCTGCACAGAGGGCCATAGCGCAGTGGTTCGACATCTGCTTTGCATGCAGAAGGTCCCAATCTCCAGCATCTCCAGACAGGGCTGGGAGAGAATCCAGCCTCAAATCCTGGAGAGCCGCTGCCAGTCAACGTAGACACTACTTGGCTAGATAGACTGGGTATAAGGAAGCTTCCTATGTTTCTGTGCAGAAAAAAGCTCCCAAATACAAGAGCAGCAAACCATTACCAATAGTCCTTCCTAATGGAATCTCAGTGGAATCCATCCAGAGTTTGTTCTTGCAGCTTTGATGGAACATACCAATCACAATGTAGAAGCCATGTTCCATCTCCCTTCATGTTTCTCACTGTTTCCTTCAGTGGATTTTAAAGCTGGATGACATCTGTAGTTGTGTGTTGTCTTAACTGACGTCCCTTACAACTAAATATACAGAGTGAGGCACCCCAATTCTGCATGGTTATTAGGGAAAGATTTTGAAATGAATCCCAGGGTAACTGCTTTATGCACCACTCTAACACTGCGTCTTCCAGAAGGAACTTACATGACTGTTTACTGAACTGTTTTTTACTGATCAGCTTTCACTCACAAAATACAGCTTTTATATTTGCTGATTTAAGACCCCTCGGGGCAGCTTGCAACTCTTAAAATGCATCAATAAAACCATATTCAAAGAGAGAAATAATAATAAAAGCACAAAAATGGCACAATCCCCACCCCCATATACCTATTTTGTCATTACAGTGGGTTGTAAGTGACAAGGAGATTACTGCAGAAGGGTGGTCCACAAATTAAAATTCAAAGATTCTGGTCTAACTTCCATTTTCTCACTGGAATAAATACTTTTCAACTTCCTAAAGGTCAGAAACTTTTGTTTGTTTTTGAGGGGGGAAGAAATGCAGTTTCTGTCTCATCAGGATTCATACCTGCCAAGTTGCATGTAGGCACAGCACTTATGCTGAGTTGGCTGTTGAATTTGATTATTTGTTCCGAATTAAAACAGGAGGGGGGTGGGGCTTGCATCTGGCAAACTGATAATTTATAATGTATTTACACTTGGATACGGGGAAAAGATTTAAGTCCTTAGTCTTCCTTAAAAAACCCAAAGTACTGAAAGGTTTGAGCTCTGATTGCAAAATTTTACCACCACACTTTTGATTTCCATTTCATATGAATTTAATTTCACCTTTACTGCTGACAGGAAAGTGGTACCCAGAGTTTCCCGCAGACCCTCCCACAGTACCTCATCTCTGGAGACGGAGCTGATTTCTGCAGCCAGAGATTCAGAGAAGGAAGCAGAGAAGAGGTTCTTGGCGCCTTGAATACTGAGGTTTATGATCTGCCCATTCAGCTCATCATTCTGTTCCTTCAAGTTTCGGTTATCCTGTTGGCAAAAAGAAACCCAAAATGTTGCAACTGTTATCACTACCAGCTCCTTCCACTATGAACAAACGTGTGAAGCTGCCTTACTGCAGATGCCCACTGTCAGAATTCTGACTGACAGTATTTATGATACACTTACATGTAGCCTTTGCAAACCTCACATCCATTTATGCCACAAATTGACAGCACACATAAATATCTTTCAAAACTAAAACATATGTGCCATGAGTTCTATCTAATGCTCAACATGCATTGCTTTGCTGGCGCAATGGGACTCTTTCTCTCCTCCCCTCGTGCATCCCCCAACCCCCCAGAGCAGATTTTGATTACACATGGGGTGCTGTAGAAGAGGACAGGAAGAGAAAGCTGCACTGAGCACATGCAAGTCTGTTGCACTAGTGCATTGGATACGACCTCATAAACCTCAGCTGAATTAAAAATGATTATAAAAGTAATTCAGATGCATGGTCATAATTTCCTGGCAGCTGTGACAAATAATGCCACCATATAAGTAATATAAAACTGGTTCTCCGACAACAACCGTGCCTACAACATCCTGACGTGTTTCATCCAGGTAATATAAAATAATGCTTGACAAAAAATATTCCCTTGAGTCTGCAGAAAAAATAGCAAGCTATATCTTTAATGTAAATGCATTTTAAAATGCATTTTTGGTACTGCAGCGGGATGCCTTATAAAGAAGCTGACCATCTAGATATGCTCTGCAGATATGTGGATGACATTACTTGGCACCTACAATCTGTAAAAGATCCGTAAATGGCAGAAGATCTAAGTTTAAGAATAATGTGCCATGGAATGATTATTTTAGCATACCGCTAGGAGAAGTGTATATGATTAATGAGGAACAATTGTTCTGCTTAGCCAACATACCAAATCCTAAGGGCACAATAATGGTTTAAGGACCAAAGATTCAACAGTTTAGTTATAAACTTGCTCATTTATTTTGACCTCTCTCCACCAACATTTGACCTTTAGTTGTTCCAGACAGCACAATTTTTAGCATCCTCTTGCATTTAATTTGAACCAGTCTCTGAAATGCAGGGCCAGTAGAGCTATATTGAAACCCACGATGCTATCTCCTCCCAGTGCCCAATCCAGCTATAGCATAGAAGTCTGTAAGGGAAGCTCAAGTACCTGCTTGAGCCGCCTGATCTCTTGTTCCAGTTCTGTCTCCCGCGTCCGGCTGTTATATTCCTGGAGGCCTATGCTGCTGCTCCTGCCCCTTCGCTGTTCTGCTTCCAGCTTGAAGAGCTGCAGGTGCTCCAGCTGTTTCCTGAGGTCCTCAATCAACTGCAAGGCAAGGGAGGCAAACTAGATTAGTGGAGGACTATCACTCAAGAGCACTAGCACATACACACAAAGCAACTATTTGCTGCAAGGAGGTAAATGGGCTGGTGCACTAGGTGTGTAAGCCAAAAGGCACAAATGCCTCTGTACTGATAACAATGTAATATTTATTCAAAAAGGACAGACAGACAGACAGGAGGCCTTTGATAGCCTTACATCCACCCTGAAATGAAGTCTTAAACATAATCCTATGATCTACAACTAGTTCCACCCAAAACTGGAGATCAACAGCCAAGGGCAGGACTGATAAGGGCCAAGACTTTATGGCAGGGATGGGCCCTCACTATGCTGCTGTGACTCTTGACTCCTATCAGCGCCAGCCAACACATGCGGATGGGAGTTGTAGCCCAAAACATCTAGAGTTCACCAGGTTGGCAAAGCAATGCATTTTGCTAAACATAGTGAAAAAAGACAAGGAAAAATCCTCTCTGGGGGGGGAGGGGATGGGGGTGGGTTTTTGCTTCTTTGTTCTTGTTCTTATCATGTATTTTGTGCTTTTATATTGTATTTTTATGTCGTGAACCGCCTCAAGATCTGTGGATGAAGGACGGTATACAAATTTAATAAACAATACAAATAATCTAGTCAGAAGAAGAGTGAGATATCTGGGGGTGGGGGTGAGGCAGGATAGCAGGGAGTGCCCCATGGTGCAGTCCCCCTCTGGAAGCCAGCAGGCTCTGCTCACCTCCTGGGTCGATTCCTTGTCCTTTTGGAACTGGTGCCTCTCGTGGGTCAGCTTGTCTCCCAACTTCCTCTTGTTCTCCTGCTCCTCATTGAGCTGCATTGTGAGGTCTTCTATTTCGTCTAGCAACTTCTGCTTCTCCTGAAAAAAAAACCAGGGAAATGAAACTGTAACCCTCCCAACACTCTCGCCTCTTCCAAGCACCTCTGAAGTCCAGCAAGACCCCATGCCTTCCCACACTTGGAAAAGGGACACTGCAGGACTGATTGCTACCAAGCTCAGTTAATAGCCCTGTATCCCAAAATACACAACATTGGTATCCAATTCAGGGCTGTTTGAGCTGACACACTGTCCACAAGCAGTTCATGATGCTGAGAGCAGACTTGAGGAGGAGCCCACAACCAACCACGTCAGAATTTGTGTTGGCAACTAAAAACATTGGCCTGCCACTAGAGGGCAGAATGGCAACAAGCAAGGAACATAAGAAACCTGCTTTAAGCAAGGCAAAGGGGTTAGAAATGTACAAGTGATCCAGACAAGGTAACACATGCGATTGGTTGGGTTTTATTATTATGGATGCTGCTTGAAACTCTCTCCTCATAGGGTCAGCAAAAGTGGGAGACCCCTTGGCCAAACATGAATGTAATAGGGGGCTTTAGGCATATCTTCCTCTCAGCTTTGTCACCCCACCCTCATCTGTTAAGTGGAATAAAGTGACAATGCATGTTGCAAAAAAGCAATAAAAAAAACTTCTTCTATTAAATTTCTAGCTAGCGGCAAAGAAGTTGCTGAGATGAGTTCTTACCACAGCTATTAGCTTGTCTTTTTCAGCATTCTCTAAAATGTTGACCAGATATGCTTTACATGATAGAATAACCACCAGTTTTCAATATCTAACCAAAACAATTATTTGCAACCAGTAACAATTAATAACTAGAAGCCTAACTGAAGGTTGCAACTCAATACCCTAAGTATTCAACAATGCAGCAAAAATATCCAAATTACGCTTCCAAAAATCAGGACAAAAATAGCCTCTTGGATTGAAAATCACAGAACAAACAAAAGTGTAGATTTTTAGACAAGGAACCTTTCTTTTTTAAAAATGTATCATCCAGAAACCATTCCTCTCAAGTTAAAAGGACAAAAACTGAAGGTACATACTATTAGCTGACATTTGAAACAAGGTGTCAGAATGTCTGGTTCTGATACCGAGGGAAATCCATCTGTGCAAAATCGCACATATTGCCCATTTTGTATAAAATCACAGAATTCATATACAATGTTAATTTCCCAGTTGCAGTATATACAGGATGAGTCCTTTAAAAGAGGCCCCGGGGATACAGAGTACACATGCTCCATAGGGCCTCTTTTAAAAGACTCACCCTGTACTTGGATACAAGCTCTTCTTGAAAATCACCAATTACCTGCTACAAAATTCCCTTCTCCCCTTTAATTTCCTTTCCTCTTATCTGAAAGAGCTGAACACTTGTAGCCTGCATCCCAAAATAAAAGTCTCACTCACTTGCACTATGTTTTGTATCTTGGATTACAGGTGACCCACCCCTTGCCCCTGCAAAAATTAAGCCAAAATCTAATCACAACCCCTCCAATCTAGCCTTCCACTTGATCATATAAGAGAAAGTTGATGCAGTATCATCTTAGGATAACCGCTATAGCAAACCACAGGAGATACATTATACATTTCTATGCATATTTACTCCAAAGAAATCCCTGCTATATTCAGTGGGGTTTACTTCAAGGTAAGTGAACATAGGGATTGGAGTCTGAAAGTGACAGGTTTGAAGTTACAAGGCAGCCTAGGCTCACATTCATAGAAAGGCTAGTATTTGACCTCGGGGGAGACAAATAATCAGAGATTTGCATAAGTGCATGGCCTAAAGCAGGTGTGCAGCACCTCTGGCAAGAGCAAACTGAGCACAGCTTGCTCTGAAGGTAAGGATGCTGAGTAAGGGTGGGATAATTAATGCTGTGTCACTGAAACATAGAGCCATATGCATTTTTCTTTACCACTGAGAAGTTCTGGTCCAGAGGAAAGCACACCACCCCTTTTATTTTTAAGGCACACAGAGGCATATTACAGAAATCTCTGCCCGGCAGAGGCACCTCACCTCCTCTAGCCTCTCAATATTGGCTCTCAGGCAAGGGACGCAGGACCGAAGTTCGCCATTCTCATCATCCAGCTGTTGTATCCTGCAGTTCACAGAAACAAGCATAAGCTTGGAAATGTACTGCCATCCCTGCAAGCAGGAGGCCTCTCTGCCTGGCCCTTGTGACTCTCCCCAGGCCACACCCCTCACTGGCCTTGGCTGGCCTCATGTGCCCTTGAACCCTGATCTTGCTTCTCGCTTGGCTGGATGGAGAATAGAGACGTGTTTGTGAGTGTAAATAACTGTACAAAGCCTAAAAATTACATTGGTTGCTCTGCCCACCTTTAGCCTGGTCCAAACCACCCCTGGCATGGGAACCCTTGGAAGGCTTTCCAAAGGGGAATGTAGCCCCACCACCACCAACACGTGTTAACTATGTGTTGTACAAATAAGGGCTTCCTTTTTTACACGCTTAATCTTCCGCCAGTGAATGGAACTGGATGACCCAGATTAAGGATGTGCCTAAGCAGAGTCTCCATGCATTTGCCAACCGTACCGGGCTTGGAGGTTCTCAATCTCAATGCTCTTCTCCCGCTCCATCTTGCACAGCAGCTCCCGCTGTTTCCGGATTTCATCCATGAGAACCTCATCTGATTTCAGCTCCTGCTCTTTCAGCTGCTCCTCCAGGGCATTCGCTCTGTGGAGACATAGAAAGGTTGTGGAGTTCAGTGGCTGACACTCCACAGGGCAACTCCCCCTGGAGCACAACTGTTCAGGCGAAAAAGCATTTTGCACACAAATGAAGAAAAATAACATTTGGTATAGGGGTCATTTCACCATGCCGATTCTAACATGTAATTTTCTTATTCTGTATACTTGTTTTAAAGTTGCTGGTTTTATTTATATTTCGACAAAATACTACATTAAATTTGTTTTTACTGTTTGCTCCTATCAATATTATTTGCTTACTATTTCAGGTAGTTCTTTGTAAGTGCTTCGAAACATAGAAATTGTGCTTAAATAAATAGGAAGTATTCTATTTGAAATGGCACACATGCACACCACACCCAAATTACTGGGCCATGGAGGGGAAGCGCGAGGCCCATAATGAAATCCAAAAACTGCACACCCTATCCTCACAATATTAGCTGAGTCATGTCTCCCACCCAATGATTTGAGCATAGGCCTAATTTCTTTGTTTAAACCAAGGGTCCCCTGCTTTATAAGTTCATCAACTTACATAGCTGCCATGGACCCTAACAGGCCTTACCAAAATAGTGAACCACAATAACTAAATAAAAGAGAAACATTATATTGAGTATAGAGGAAAATAGAACACCGAGTTGACCTTGATGCTTTCATACATACACCCCAAACCAGAACCAGTTCTCCTCTTTCTCATTGTCTCCACCAGCTAAATAACAGAGCATGATAAAGTAAATTCTACTAACAATTGATAGGGCTGTGTCGTGTCTCAAGCCCTGTCATTCCACACAACTGTGTCACATGCCATTTCTGAACACACAGAGAGGCTCGTCTCAAAGCTGACACCTGTCATGCTTTTTACCTGTGCACCAGCTGCAGGTTTTCCTGCTTTAAGCGGCTGTGCTGCTCCCCATTTGCCGCCGTGTCCTTTTCCAGCTCTGTCACTCTTTTCTCTAGGAAGATCACCTGCAGAAGGAGCAGTGAGAGTCAAGCATTAAAAGGCCTGTCCTTCTTGCTTCACCCATAGGGCATGAAAGCCAGTCTGGGGCCAGAGGTTTTGGTCCAATTCAAGAGCAAGCAGCTCTAACCAGTTGTGCACTTTGTTTCCTCCGCACTTCATGGTCCTTTGCTTAACGTCATATTATCATCCTTGGTTCCTTAGTCTGTAATACCCAAAGCCTCACCTTTTGGGAGAGATTTAAAAATAGAATGCTCCTTCTTGGTAATCCATTTGAGTCAATGCTCAGGGCTGCTGTTTCAAAACCCTTAAGATGCTGGACGCTCGCATATCCTAAGCCAGTGCGCAGCAGCAGCTGGGAAAGTGTGAGGTGGCTTTCTTGTAATCATTGTTAGGGAACCTGTGGCCTTTAATAAAGGATGGGTTAGAAAATTTTCTAAACACATAAAAAGTAAAGCATCCCACTGGCCATGCAGGCTGGGGCTGGTGGGAGTTGGGAGCAAGCAATTGTCTGGAGCAGTACTGCAGCAGCATTACACCCTTATGGGAGGAGGGTATCTGGTGCCTCTCTGTATGAGTCACCGGTCTGTGTTAGTTACACATACCCAGATCTTTAACAGACAGACAGACAGACAGACAGACAGAGAAGAAAGCATTTGCTTCCACACACTCTAACAGTAATGCTTTCCAGCTGTAAAACACACCCACCTTATCAGTGATGTCCTCTTCCAAGCATTCGGTGTTGTTCCGGAAGGGTTCCTCCATGACATCTAGAGGGAGGGTTCCTGTCTGGTGAAGGTGCCTGTAACGAAGACAGACCAGGCCGATCCAAAGCAAGAATACAATTAGAAGGACCATCATCACAGAGGAGAACACCAAACTAGCACAGTTGTGCATGGGTTAACATTTCCACCTTGCTCCTTTCCCTTCCTGCAGGGGATTCCATCATCAAGTGCAGTTCAGAAGCCCTGTCTGACTACCAAAGTTGGATTTCTCAATTAAAAAACCCCCAAACACTTCTGTTTCACAGGCTACTGCCTGCCCGCCCACAGCATCCCTCGATAGTTCTCTAAGCTGAGCAAGGTTGTCTGACACCTTTGTGGGGTGGCAGAGAGAACAATAGCGTATTACCAGGTACCCACACTTACACACCTTTTCCCCTTTGCTCTTTGGAATATGGGATGATTAAGATCTGACTTTCTCCCACATAATTTCTTTCTGATCTTCATGGCAGTGAGATAAAACACGTTCTCAAGAGCAATAAAGAACATGAAAGAGGAAGGACCGTGGCTCAACGCTGCAGCATATATACTTCGCAGGCTGGACGTCCCAGGATAAATTGCTGGAGTGGCCTGTTTGCATCTGGGAATCCTACATTCAAATCCTCACCCACTCTAAAGCCTATTAGACAGTCTTGAGCAAGTGGCTGTATTTCAGTCTAATCTACTTCGTGGGAAGAGCTGTAGCTCAGGAGCACAGCACCTGCCTTGCATTCAGAAGTTTCCAGGTTGAGTCCCCACATTTTCAGGTAGGGGCAGGAAATTTCTCTGCCTAAAACCCTGGGGAGCCACTGGCAGTCAGTGTAGACCATACTCAGCTAGGTGGAAAGCATAAGGCAGCTTTCTATGTTCCCCAAGAGGCAGGCTGGGAGGCAGAGAGCAAATTGGTAAAACAAGCCCTCCCATCACGTTGAGACTCCTGCATTGCAGGGGGTTGGACTAGATGACACTCATGGTCCCTTCAGACTCTACAATGCTACGATTCTATGCCCCCACACATATGGAAGCTGCTTCCATTTTAACACTTCTCCCTGTGTTCCTCTGTTGTGGTCCAAAGGCCATCATTTTATGACACGACACCCAGGTCAGACATTTATCAGCTGTTAACTAGTAATGCACTTTATCACTTAAAGAGTGTTCAATATTCCACCCAAAGGACAAGGGGGAGGCAGGCTTTGGGTGTCCTCTGCCTTCCCGGCCCACCATGCAAAGCCTTGATACAGAAATTCATGCACCGAGAGACTGTGAACGCATTGCGGTGTTTGAAGAGTGGTTATTAAGAGGTGGTTAATGATAGGTTACAGGTGGTTAATAAAAGTTACATGCTGATGAACCAAAGGAAAGCATGAAAAATATACAGGCAGCTTGGAAGCTATGGACCTCATTCCAGATCTCCCTCCACAGCAGCAAAACCTGTCTCTTGCAAACAAGGCAGAGCCAGGAATACCGTCAGGTTTGGTAAAGAAATGCCACCCCAAAAGCCCTGCAAGAGGGCAAGCACAGCCTCCTCCCTGATGGCCCGTTAAATCTGAGCCAGGCAATATGGCAGGGATAGCCAACCTAACCCAGAGGTTGCTGGACTACAGCTCCCATCATCCCTAACCACTAGTCCATGTTAGGTGGGGCTGATGGAAGTTGGGGCCCAGCAACATTTATTTGGAGGATGCCATGTTAGTTACCTCTGGCTGTGGTGGCAGGAGGAGGACACAGCGGCGACTGGGCAATCAATATTGTCCCAACCAGTGTGCGTGTAGGAAAGAAACTGGTCCCACTGGTCAGCTAGCATGAGAGGGTTGGTGAGCTGCATCCTGCCCCCCAATGAACGAGGAAAGTGAAGTAAAAGCTCCAGTCTCATAGGCAGCTCTCATGGGTGTTACGTGGGGCAGGGGTGTGTGAGGAGTGCCTCCCATGTAGTTTTTAAATGCTCCTCTATCTCTTCACTTCAGAGGCTTAGGTTGGGTATAAATGTAATAAATAGAATAGAATTTAAAAACAGATGGAGGACTGTGTGTGTATCGCCTACTTTGGGGGAGGCAGTTGCTGGTGTTTTAGCTGCTTAGATGTATCCACCTAAGTTTTAGTCAGAGTAGACCTATTGAAAAGAAAGGAACTAAGTTCATCATGTCCGTTAATTTCAGTGGGTTACTCTGATTAAAGCTAACCCCTTTTCCCAGACTCAGAATGGCAGCAAAAGCAACACCTAATCCAGTGAAGAACACCCACCCCTTGTGCAACTTTCATAGTTTAATCGTGAGTCCTGAAGGGCGGACCAACAGATGGGTATCCACATGCTCTGGTTGAATTTTGGCAAATCAGCAACAGGATGCTATTCCATAATGCTGGGTGGGGGGAAGAGAGCGAGCGAGAGCAGGGAAGAAGCCCTAAGAATGCCCTTTCTCACACTTTGTTCTTATTGCAACCAATGTGTAGAGAATAATCATTAAGACAAAGTGCGTCCGGGTGGATGTCTGAGATGCTTCAACAGGAGAGCCCCACGTGGAGAAAGCAGTCTCCCAAGGTACGCTGGGCGGAAGCCTTACAGCTTTTACCCCTGGGACAAGGTAGCCTTCCAAATTTAAGTGCTAGACTGGTAACAAGGAGCAGCATGTCAGTTGGTGAGTAGGGCGGATGGAGGACAGGCCAAGCAATCCGGCCCTCCTGTGCACCCAGCATAGAAACCAAACAGGCTACAGGGAGGAGAGAAGCCCCCTCCTCTGTACCCAGTGTGGAAATGCAGGTTCGCTGTGTCCCCCTTCTCCACCAGCCCCCCGCAGACTAGTAAAAAAATGACAACCCTCCCAAACTGCAAGACTCCTCAAATCCAAGCAAAATATAAATAGAGCCTCCAGGAGTACTTCATCCATTCCCTCTGGGACAAGGAGAAAACATACCAAACAAAAACCACCCACATGCACTTCTAGCATGCAACGCCGAAAGATGTAATTGCTCAGGAGATGTACTTTTTAAAAAACAAGGAAAGAAACTGCCCTCATGCAGTCACTGAAAAGAGAAGGTGGAAGGAGAAAGAGTGACCCCCACCACACGTGGGGGGGACGACCCATGCAGGGAAGCCGTCGAGTGGGCTTTGAGAGCAAGCTCAGGGAGAGTAAAAGGAACATCAGAGCGTACCTGGCTACCTTCTTGCTTGAGAGCCTCTTATTTGGACTGTGGAATGAACAACAGGAAAACTAAGTCAGGAAAACTGACACCCAAGAGCAACAAGCGAAACAGGAAGCAAGCGAAGACAGAGCGGCAGGGGCATATCCTTTACAATTCACGGCACAAATGCACAACACAGCACACCCCAGGCCATGCACCCCACGTCCCACCCCATCCCGCCCCAAATCTAAACCCAACCAGGGGCAACATCTTTTCCGCACACGTTTTTAGCAGCGCTGCAACACCGGAACGGAACAAAACGGGCCCTCTGCGGTGCCTGCAGGAGCGTCCACCGCTCCTCTTCCCCCTGCGTCCGTTCGCTGGCCAGTCCTGAAAACAGATCCCGAGGCTAAGAATAGAACTTGAGCGTGGTGGGACTTTCGGCTTCTGCTGGATTTAAACCCACCTGTCAGCCAAGCGGGCATCTGAACCCCCGATAGCAAGGTGCAGGGAGTGCCAAGCAACGTACCTCAAACAGGCGCACCACAGAAAAGGTCTGTGGCACACAGAGGTGAAGCCAAATGCACACACCTGAAAAGCCCCACTACGAACCAAGGCTGGACGGGCCTTGGCCATCTTTCTAAGCAGGAGCTTCTGTCAGAGAAAGAGGAGAAGGGGCCGGAAGGATGACTGGAAACACGACAAGAAGCAGAGAGAAGCAAACCCAAACCCAGTAAGTAGTGGGGCTGAGAGAACTCTTAAAGGTCACCCCTAGGAAAAAAGGTTTCTAGCCCAAATCATGGCATCACCTTTTCCGACCTCTAGAGGTGTATATATCTGTTTCAGGGGATACGTTTTAACTGTTAAGATATATAACACTTAGGAGCAACAGCTTGCCCAAAATATTTTTCTCCACTGAGGCAAAGGACAAGAGGGCATCTGTCTCCCATCTCCCACAATTCCAAGAGCAGAATCTGACCGGGGTCACATCTGCACCGTACATTTAAAGCACTATGGTGCCACATTAACAGCCAGTGCTTCTCTCAGAGGTTCATTGGGAAAGGTGAATTGATTGTTAAAGCACTTGGGGAACTGTAGCTCTGTGAGAGGAAGAGGGGGTCTCCTAACAACTCTCAGAACCCATAACAAATGACAATTCCCAGAATGCTTTGGGATAAGCCATGACTGTTAACGTGGCAGCACAGTGCTTTAAATGTTTGGCGCAAGTGTGGCCTGGACTGGGACTTTAATCTTGCTTCAACACTAGGAAAGGGATTGTGTCCTCCACCACACATGAAGGCAGGCAGACTAGTTTAGCGGGTGCATAACAAGCCTCTAGCACACATAGCTCTGACCTCCACCAGAGGAGAATGCCCAGGAGGTTCAGCAGGGATGGCTGAAGGTGATGCTGCTGCCGCCACCCACCTGCCAGCATCCACCACCTGAGGCGACTGCTTCACTTTGCCTAATGGTAGGGCTGGTCCTTAAGAGCAGAACATAATGTATGCAAACACACAGAAAGCAATGGATTGACCTTTGCGATAAGTTTTTAAGCTGGGTAGCCGCCTATCAGAGAAGCTGTAGGAGTGGGCTTCTTGCATCAACAGAGAGTCACTAAAAGGTACTGGAGGTCCTTTTCAATGCTGAGATTCTATATATAGCACCCTTAATGCATGCAGTGCTGTACAGAGAAACATGCAAACGAAGGTCAGCCTCTTCTTGGCATTTACAACCTAAGTTCCAGTGGAGAGAAAGGGGAGGCATCTGCGTGTAAAAATGGCAACATGGATTTGAACATACCACTTTAGCAGTAGGCATGACATACAGGCACATGCAGCCAGCAGTGGCTGCAAGTCCCTGTTGACAGCGGCATACGGCACGAGGACGTCCTTGCCATGTTCAGAGGTGGCTGGTGCCCACTTGAACTGGTAAGGCGGAAGGCAGGGGGAGGGACCAACAGTAGGTGGAGCCAGAGCCAATGACAGGCACAGTCAGAACTAGAGTCAAAGCCAACTTTTGTCGCCCTCCTCCTCCCTGCTGAGTGCTACAAGGGGCAACCCGGAGCCTAAGGAGAAGGAAGCTGATTGGCTGTGCCATTCCTTGGACTGGCAATGTGTCAGAGTGGGCAGGTGGGGGCTGGCTAAGGGTAGGCTGAGGTTAGAGGGCCAGTGCTCCACTGGCCCTGATATAGCAGCCTCCATTGTCTCACCGTCTCTTCCCCACCTCCATGCCTTCCGATTATGTGAATTCCCCTTTTGAACATCCGCCAGAAGGAGTTAGGGATGTTGGACATTCAGCATAATATAATTGCTGGCAATCTATGAAGTAGTAAGAAAAGGGGGGTTCTTGGAATACATGACATCTCCATTTGCAATGTTTGCAATGCTGTCATAAGCCTTTGATCTCGGCACACCAATCTAATGCAATCATTTCCTTCAGGCTGGAAGGGGCTGTATCTGAGTGGCAGTACACCTGCTTTGCAAGCAGAAGGTCACAGGTTCCACCCCCAGCATCTCCAAATGGGGAAGAGCCCTGCCTGAAAAACTACTGCCAGTCATTGTGCGGACAATACTGAGCTAAAAACCACATTAACTCAAATGTAAAGCGCACCTTTTTTGGCCAAATTACGTCGTGAACATTAGGGTGCGCATTAGATTCAATGGCACATTGGATTCGAGTAAATGCAGTAGATCAATTGACAAGACTACAAACCTGCACACGTACTCAATTAAGCTTACTTATTGAGTAGAGCTGCAAGGCCTCTCATGTTCCTCTCTTATTTGCCTCATCTCCTCCTCCCATCTGCCATACCCAACTCCATGCCTTCTGCCATGGCTTATCCCAACATTTGCCAACATCTGTGCTGACTGAGGCTGATGAGAGCTGCTATCCAAAGCAGGTGGAAGGGGCTAGATTGGTGACAGCTGCCTCATGGCTTGCAGCGATCGCTACGGTCTCCATTTACCAAGCCTGCCCAACATATTCATCTACAATTCTCAACCTGCTTTCTAAAACCACCATTGCCTTGTCTTGCTTGAAGCCCCCCACCTCTTTCGCTAGCTGCTGCCATTTTCCACACCCTGTTCTCCTTAGGCCAGCATAGATCACAAAGGCACCAAGGAGGAATCCAGAAACTCCACATTTGCTTCAGACACACAGATTAGTTCATGGAAAGAAGATTAATTGCAGAGCAGAGAAAATGCAAAAAGGAGGATTCTCACTGGCAGTATTCTTCCTGGTTTTGAAGGGATAGAGATAAGGTGTTTTCACATGCAGCACTAACAAACACCTCCATCTCCCAACCATTTTTTAAGGGCAGTCAACTGAGTGCAAGTTGCACAGACACTGATGTGCATTATCAGCAGCCAGTGATCAAGACCGCTATTGAGAAACAGGCTTCCTCCCTGAAGATATACACACAGGCAGTGAAGAGGGTGACGGGGAAGGGCTGTGGCTCAGTGACAGGGAACCTGCTTTGCATGCAGAAGGTCCTGGGTTCAATTCTCTGGCGTCTCCTGATCGGGCTGGGAGGGGCCCCTGCCTGAAATCCTAAGCAGACCCAGACCATAAGTGACATAAAGGGGTCAACAGCCTGACTCAGTATAAGGCAACTTCCTATGGCTTGTCTCCAATGCCAAGCTCTACTTAAGAGTCGATCCACTGAAATTAATGGACAAAACTAACTTGGATCTATTGCAGTGGGTCCACTCTTGAGTATGACTTGGGGGGCCACAACCCTATGTTCCTATCTTATGCAAGAAAATGGTAGACTTGATATTACTAAGAGGATGTGGGTGAGGGTAGGGAAAACCACAACTGAATAATACACTTTGGCAGGCAAGCTGCTCCATCATCACACTTAGCAATTTTAAATTTGTTATTTTTGTAAATAAGCTCTGGGGTTTAATTTTATTACAATCGAGTGGTGTATAAAATAAATCTTGTGAAATAAACCAACCAACCAATTTTGCAAACCTCAAAGGAAATAGGCCCACCTGTAGCGTAAGCGCCCCAAATATCAAATGGTTTCAATAACAGGGGCCAAATATCCCTTAAAGCTGCCTGGTAGGCAGATTGGCAGAGGCTAGATTCAAACTGGAGACTTCCTGAATCACGGTTCAGCCTTGAACAATAGACAACAGCAGTTCAGGGCCCTTCCTCTGTACGTACTGCAGACGTGATTTGTTAAAAAAGAAAGAAGGAAGGGAAAAAGCGAGCACCCATGCTTAGCAAACCATGCGAGTCCTACTTTCCCAAGAATATATAAATCATGCAACTTTAAAAAGAAAAGTGTCTCATGCCCCAAACGAGTTACCTATTCATTTCAAGATCATTTAGGCGAGCAGACAGGTCCTCGAGGCGGTTGATTTGTTTGTGGCACTGGGTACAGTAAAACTCAAACGCCTCGTCAGTGATAATGCTGTGCAGTTTCGCCGCAAGTGGGTTGGTGCTAGAAAAATCACAAGTGTGTCATTCTTGTAAAAAAGGAGAACATTCAGGCAGAGCCCCTCGATTCCACCTGTGGCTTCCAGAAGTTGAAAGAGAAGAAGACTGATGCTCTCAAGTAGCCAATTTTGGAGGCAGGTGGTGTTTTGTAAAAGAAAGGCGTGGGCTAGTTAATGCCATTTCAAGGAGACAATGATTTGCTGCCTCTTTCCAACAAACTACCACTTCACCCCACGAATCACTTGAAGATTTGCTGAGTGTCTTAGAAGACCACTTCATGATTTTTCTGCCTGTTGCAGAAACTGTAATGCACTGTGCATGATTTTTAATTGTATTATTACTGCTTCTTTTATTTCTTTTAATTTGAATTTCATTGTATTATAATTTGAATTCCATGAACTGGTGGCCACTCATCCAGCACACAAACAAAGACCCTACAGAACAAACTGCAGCATTCCCTAACATATGGTTGGAGCCACATTTTCCTTCTTATGGATTTTAACAACTTTCAGTCTCTCCCCACTTCAGTGCTTGTGAATGGACTTTACATCTGAACTGTGCCTTTGGGTTGAGGAAAAGGGTGTGCGTGTGCTCAGTTGGTATTTTTTTCCCATTAAAAAAGCATCAAGAAAAATACCATTCTAAATCAATATGGATATTTAATGTGGTGTATGTGCCTTCTCTCATCTTCAACCACAAATCCACAGACAACACGCCGTGAGCCACCTAAATGAAGCTTACAGACCACTGGTGGTCTGTGAACTGCAGTTTGGGAATACCTGCAATAGAGTGTCCCAACTGATGCTCATCTGTCTTGCTAGAAGCCTTTGCAAAGGTCATTATCAGGACAGCCAGATCCCATCCACACTATATAGGATACTGGATGGGAACATCAAACCCAGGAGCCAAATATAGCCCTCCAGGCTATTCTGTGTGACCCTTGGAACTCTCCATAAGCCAACGTGGTTGCACGTGATCTGTACCAACATTTACACATGTAGTGATCTGTGGCAGCCATTTTTGGTACTGTGACAGCTAAAAAAAAAAATTACAGTAAGGATTAAAAATATGTTTGAGAGAGGCAGGTGGTTATACCTCCCCTCCACTGAAATAAACTTCTGGAAGCCACAAGGTTTAAATCGGAGATAAGGTTAATAGTGAAAACCACAAAGGAGAGGTTTAATTCAAATACACACACACACACAAACATAGACACATAGAGGTGTGAGCTGGTAGAAAAAAGGTTAAATTTACAAACACCTGGAAAGACAGTATACGACTTGGCTCAGTTCCTACTGTTTTGCTGAGCAACTTACATCTCAAGAGGAGGCTGGAAGCATCTATTCGGATGGAAAGAAGCAACAAGCTAAGCAGCATCAGTCCCGGGGTTTGGAGGGCCCTGGGGAAAGACCCCTTCTTTGTGCCCCCCTCAGTGAATGCGCACCCTTTACTGCAGCTGGTCCAGGGGGCTCTTGTCAGAGGGACCCCTGCAGGAATATGTGGGTCTGTGGCAGATGTCCAAACATGCTGACCTATGGTGCCAGAACTGAAGCTGTTGCAAACTACAGGAGCTTCACACTTCTTGGTGTGCAGTCATAAGCTTTGGCACTGTATGCATTACAGCATTCTTATACCAAGCTACTGATTTCAGATGAAGTTCTTCTAAAATGTGCAACAAACTCCCACAATTGATCCCCTTCCTACCCCCAAAGAAGTCATTCACTTTTTAAAAAAAAATTAATTTTTTAACACTGAGGCCTAGCAGGAGCTGAAGCTTGCGAGGAGGAGGAAAAAAACACAATGAAGAATCAAACCTAGAGAAGAACAAGCTCTGGTGTAACTGCAGAAACTCCCTGCTCTGGAAATCTGGACTCAAGAACCACCTCTGCACAAGTTGCAAAACAAAATGTTCCTCTCTTTGTAAATGCTACAGAAGAAGAGTTTGGATTTGATATCCCGCTTTATCACTACCCGAAGGAGTCTCAAAGCGGCTAACATTCTCCTTTCCCTTCCTCCCCCACAACAAACACTCTGTGAGGTGAGTGGGGCTGAGAGACTTCAGAGAAGTGTGACTGGCCCAAGGTCACCCAGCAGCTGCATGTGGAGGAGCGGAGATGCGAACCCGGTTCACCAGATTACGAGTCTACCGCTCTTAACCACTACACCACCAAAAGCTGTTGCTTTTGCTTAAGTAAGGGCAGCACTGTGGGGAAGACTGGGAGAAGTGAGCAAAACCAAACCGCAAATAGAAGAAGCACTCTGTTCAGCATAGAAAGATGTTCAAGTCATTCTCAAGCTACATTGCCATTGTGTTGCAGCATGGAGGGTGGCTGTTCCGGAGTCCACCTCTCCACTCCCTCTCTCCCCCCATCCTATAATAAACAAGCATTCTGTGGTCCCTGAGCCACCCCTCCTGTTTTTCCTGATTTTTTTTTGTATTTCCACTTGGGATTTAAATGAAGGGGTTTCTTTAAACAACAACAGCAACACACAAATTGCTGCAGAAATGAAGAGAACTAAATTCAAGGTTGGAAAAAATGAGAAGCAGAGAGAAGTCAACTGACAGGTCCATCCACCCTTAAGTATAACAACCTCAGGAGGGCAGAGAGTAGAGGACATATTTGTGTGCAGTAGACTTGCTTGCTGGGAAAAGACGGCAGCTTCTGAGCTAGGAGAGGAGTAAGATGCATCTTCCTGTTCACATCTCCATAGGAAATCCCTGCTCCTGCTGGACCACTGACAACAGGAAGCCCTTCAACCCATTTGTGCAACTCTCCCTATTTTCTCCTGCTCACTCAGCAGGACTAGCCAGCGCCAAGCATCCTGTCAACAACCACACAAGTCGTTAGCAGCCGGCAGCCAGAGTCCAGCTCAGCATCTTTCAGGGGCATCCCCTTTGGCAAACAGCCTTAGGACCAGACAGCCTCAGGTTCAATCCCAGGCATCTGCAAGCTAGAGACTAGGAGAGACGCTTGCTTGAAATCCAGGAGAGCTGCTGCCAGCCGGTGGTCTGATAAGGCAGCTTCCTCTGTTCCTATGACAAACTGGCTCCTCCTGCTTGCCTCGTTTCCCAGCAGGTTCATTTGGCACCAAGGTATGGTCAATCTGCACATGGCCTTACTTAGATCCCATCAAAGCACTCATTTCCTTGCATGGAGTGAAGATGTGTTTGCACTAAGCTGCTGGGTGATTTGCTAGCACACCTGGCAACCTGGACCCATTGCATGCCAAGGGCACAGGCCGTGATGATCTGTGTGCTGCAGGCACATGTAATCCAGGTAGAGAAACATCTGCACAGATGTGGGAAAAATGCCCTAAAATGAAGGCATCTCTATGGACTGCATGGGAAAGGCAGGAGAAAGGTGCTTTATTCTGCTCAGAAGGCATCAGAGAAGGTATGCAACACCCATCATCTTCCATAGCTATTTTGTGCAGCCGAAGAAAGTATCGCTCTCTCACACAAATCATTTTCTCCCTGCTGCTTAGGACACATTTATATGGATCTGCAGAGGTGAGAGAAGCAGGATTTGTGGTGCACAGGGCTTTTTGTCATAGCTCAGTAGTAGAGCATCTGCTTTCCATGCATAAGGTCAAGCTGGGAAGGACCCTTCTCTGAAACTCTGGAAATCTGCAGCGAGTCAGTGTAGACAATACCAAGCAAGATGGATCAATGGTATGACTCAGTGCAACGCACCTTCCTATGTTTGCAGAGGGAGAGCACCTCTGCTTTTCGTGTGGATGCTGTCAGGTTAAATCTCCAGGTAGAACGGGGCTCTCTCCGAAATCCTGCAGAGCCAGTAAGTATAGACAAGATGGAGCCAGATGGACCAATGATTTAACTTGGGATGGTGCAACTTGCTATGTAGCATAGTCATTTTCTTCATGCTGCCTGTATGTTGTTGGCTCACAGCTATTCCCCTGCACATTCAGCACACAGAGGGGAGAAAACTGTGGCAAGGTGTGCCCTGACGGCTTCAGAGTATGAGGCTGGTAAACAAGCCAGCTCGATACCAGCAAAAACCTGTTTGGTGGAAGTACCCAATAGCCAAGCTACCCCCAGCTGGGTGGGGAGTGCTGAGAATGTGGAGACAGCGCAACCAGGCAGTGCTGGGAACATGCTGGAACAACCAGACCTTCCCATCCGCCACTTGACCCACGTTTGATATGTTAGTGTGCCGCTGCTGAAAGTAAGCCCAAGTGCTCGTGGAGCTGTGATCAGAATGTGTGTGCGGGAGCAAACATTTTTTTATTAGTCTTCAATTACAGTTTAATAATAGCCCCATTATAACAATACCAATTTATAATACAATTATTAATACCAATTGTTCAAATATCGAATTATATAATTTAGATGAAGTAGCCCCCTGCATGCTTTGATGGATTGATTATTTGCATTATTTCTGCGTTCCAAAATCTTATTAATTTCAATTACATTCTGGTCATAATAAGAATCCCTTATACAACAACTGCAGTATTAATAACTTCTATTCATGTTGACACATTAAATGATTTGTAAAACTCAAGCTATATCCTTGTTCTTCCTGTGTGTGGCAATTATTCTGTCCATGGTGTTTCTTCCTGTCCTCGTAAGATGTTATGTCTTTCTTTCCCCCGGTTGTTGTTATCCATCATGACTTGGAAGGAGCTGATATCCCATTGTTGTTCCAGAAATTTCTCCCTCACTCTGTCCTGTGCTTCATTGTTTTGCAACTTTAACAACAGCTGCAAAAGTCACTCTGTCCCAATAAATAACCTGTTGTCACCATTTTTCTCAGCCTGGGAAGAAGAGTGATCTGTCAAGCTGTAGATGACTCAATAAAAACCTTATCAGTTCCTTGCCAGTTCACAGACTCCTTTCATCCTTCCTTCCAACTGAAGATATATGAGCAATTATACTTCCAATTAAATTAAATTCCAAGTCCTCTTAGCGTTATTCAATTCACTTCATAAACAATAAAGAATGGGGAAGAATCAGCTGTTTCCATCATAAACCTTTTGCAAAATAGAGCTTCCCTCCCTTTTTGCTTTTTTTACACACACAGTTTCGTTTGATGTTATATTCCATATTTATAATCCAATTTCTTCCATCCTTGCTTGTACAAATATAATTTGAACTAACATTCAGAGAAGGGTTGCCGAATCATAAATGTAGAGAAGAAAACTTTAAATAAAGAAACCATAGGCTCCCCTCCCCCCGTCTTTTGCACCGAATGAAGTCTTATCTCAAGTTCAAACTTTAAAGTCCTTGCAGCTGGGTTGGCTCCGGAATTTGTGATCTCATCTCTTCTAGCATGCGCCTGTACTTTAGTTCAATTAAACTCTTAACAGGAGAACCTCTGCTTCTTAATGGCGGTGTTGGAGGGTTTTCAACAGGCGAAGTGCTTTCCATGCTGGAGCGAGAGCCAGATACCGAGATGAACTGCGAGTGAAGCCCATTCCCCCCATCCCTGGGGGGGCGGGATTTGCAAGGATAATTACCCTTAATCATCCTTGTTTTTCCTTCACCAATGATCTCCTGCTGTCATAGGGCCTGCCTCCATTAAAGCAGAGCAGAACTGGAAGCCGTGTGCTGGAGCAATCTCATGACTGTTCACCAATACTGCTAACCGCACGGCTCTAATAGATTTCCCTCCGGCCAATGTTTCCTGCAGCCTTTGCCAACCTGTGCCCTCCAGATGTTGCTGGACTACAACTCCCATCAGCTTCAACTAGCATAGCATGTTGGCTAGGGCTGATGGGAGTTGTAGTCCAACTTTATTGAGGGCACCATATTGGGAAAGGTTGGTTTAGCGGCTGACTCAAAAACATATAACCAGAGTTATCTGCAACAGTTATTTTCGACACAGCAACCAGTGGTGATGGTGCTGAAGACAGGCTACCGAAGAAGCTTAAGGACAGGCACCAGCCAGTTGAGAAACGTTCAAAATGCATCAACATGAGACACAGGTTCTGGCCATCTTACCTCGGAGAGAGGAAGGATGAACTACTGAAGCCACTTTCTCCGTTGCACAAGCTGTCTGAGAAGAGATCCACCTCATTCCCTTCCCCGTAGTCCTCAAAGTGCTCCTC